TTCATATTAGCGAAGGTCGTTTGTCTTCAACAGAACAGAACCCCCCATCCCTCTGCCTGGTCAAATCCATCACCAAAGAGACCATGTTGTCTCTGGGACTCACTTCCTTTCCTTCATTTATTGAGTGGGGGTGTCAGAACGCCCCCACTCAATAAAATTATACAGTTACATCCCTGCCTCCCCAACAAGGGTCTGTACATCTTCCAGGGTAAGCCTAGCTCCAGGGAAACTACTAACAACATTAGCTAACTCCCTCCCAAAGACTCAAGGCTGTTTTGCCCATAGGAAACCTGTCATCCCCAATCAGTACTTCTCCCAGAGACCCCCCAGCTCCCTGTTTTCATCTGACTTCTCCCCATGTCCTCACTCAGGGACAGATAAGCCCTGGATGGAGAAATGCAGCACCTGATTCCAGGTGACTGAATGTGGCCGGCCTTCAGAGATTTCTCCCTCTACAGGACGAAAGGTGCTGTGGCTGGAAAGTCTCAGGCTGTTTCTCTTGCAGGTCAGACTGCTCCCGGTGCCATGAACAGAGACAACGCCTTTGCAAAGAGACCCAGGGATGATGCTAAAACATCAGAGAAGAGAAGCATGGTGAGGTGACCTGGAGGGGGCATAGCAGTTGTTCAGGGCATAGAGTAGGCTGACCAGATTTCTGAGGAGGGGAGGACAGAGGTACTGGGGGAAAGGAGCAGGGTCCCAGGGAGATCTGGACCGCTGGGAGCATCCCATCTTCGCTCCGTCATCACCTAGCATCCCTGGAGACAGGTCTGTGGCCGTGCACTGCATTTGGTGAATCTCAGTCCATTCTGCAAGGTGGGAAGAGAGCCAGCCAGCAGCATTAAAGTCTTACTGTGTGGCAGGGGAGAAGCTAGGGAAGGTCCCCATGTTCTCTCAGTTAGCCATGGCGTCAACCAGGATGGATTATCATCCCCGCTTCCCAGATCCAGCACACAGGAAGCGGCTCCAGCTAAATGGCAGACATGCCTAGCTGAGTCACTGCCAGAATTTCTTTCTTTTTTTTTTTCCTAGGCCTTCGTTGGTATTGCCAAATACTTCTCTAAGAAAGAGTGGGAAAAGATGAAATACTCGGAGAAAATCAACTGTGTGCATATGAAGAGAAAGTATGAGGCCATGACTAAACTAGGTAACAGAAAGTTCTAGGTACAGACAAGTCTGGGGACACATGAGCATCCCTTTTCCTGTTTTGCCTAGTTCTTAGGCTGCAGAAAGTACCCCACATTTTCCTTTTGTACAGGGAAAAATTGCGAGGCAGCTTCTGGGTGTTCTGCTCTTCCTATCCTGTCAGGGCTGAGGACAGGGGCTGGCCACAGTGGAGCTTATACCTGGATCCTGCACGTTTCTCTCCCATAGGCGTCTTTTCTGATGAGCCCAACTGTCTCTGTGGCATCGCAGCACATCTCCCACCCTACCATCCTTCTCTCGGCTTCTCTCTCTCTCTCTCTCTCTCTTTTGGAGTCAGAGTCTCACTGTCACCTAGGCTAGAGTATAGCAGTGCAATCATAGCTCAATGCAGCCTCGAACTCCAGGGCTCAAGCAATCCTCCTGCCGAGCCTATGGAGTAGCTGAGGCTACAGGCACATGCCACCATGCCCAACTAATTTTATTTTATATTTTATAGATATGGGGGTCTCTCTATGTTACCCAGGCTCGTCTTGAACTCCTGGCCTCAAGCAATCCTCCCACCTCAGCCTCCCAAAGTGCTGGTACTACAGACATGAGCCACCATGCCAGGCCTAAGTTTGTCTCTTAAGAAAGAAACATTTTGCTTCTTTCTAGGTTTCAATGTCACCCTCCCACCTTTCATGCGTAATAAACGGGCCACAGACTTCCAGGGGAATGATATTGATAATGACCGTAACCGCAGAAATGAGGGTGAGTAGATGGGAAGGGGCTGGAAAGGGTCTCCTGAAGCCCAACTGCTTTTCAGCTCAGCTATCTGGGAAGGATCCTCAGGCATTTGTTCCCTCATACACATCAGGGCTGAGTGAAAAAAAAAAAAAATTGCATACAGAAAGTTAACTACAGAGATCATTCATAAAATTATAAAACATGTAAAACAAGAATATGAATATTTATGGCTAATAAGCAAATGGTAAATGCATAAAACATGAATGTGAATAAAAAGCCATCAAATTGAGGAGACTGGCTGTAAATGGACAACGAGCGGGGGCACGGATTGGTGAGTGCTGCACAGACAGCTTCAGTCGTGACTTATTGATAGTGTTTTTATTTGGTTTTGTTTTGTTTTTGTTTTGTTTTGTTTTGTTTTGTTTTTTGAACTGGAGATTCGCTCTTGTTGCCCAGGCTGGAGTGCAGTGGCACAGTCTCAGCCCACTACAACCTCTGCCTCCTGGGTTGAAGAGATTCTCCTGTCTCAGCCTCCTGAGTAGATGGGATTACAGGCGCCGGCCACCATGCCCACTTAATTTTTGTATTTTTAGTAGAGACGGGGTTTCACCGTGTTGGCCAGGCTGGTCTCAAACTCCTGACCTCAAGTGATCCACCCTCCTCAGCCTCCCAAAGTGCTGGGATTTCAGGCATGAGCTATTGCACCCAGCCCGTTAATAGTGTTTCTAACATTCTGAATAAATAAATCAGATCTAACATAGTCATGGGGTAATGTTGAGATGCGACTGAATTCCATATTATTCCCCATACTTTTCTGTGTGTTTGAAATACTTCTTTTTTAAAGGACATGTTGTTCTTGCTAGACACTGTTAATGAATCAAAGCACAGTTAAGAAAATTTTAAGGCCGGACGGGCTGTGGTTCACGCCTATAATCCCAGCACTTTGGGAGGCCGAGGAGGGCAGATCACCTGAGGTCAGGAGTCCGAGACCAGCCTGACCAACATGGAGAAACCCCGTCTCTACTAAAAAAAAAAAGCACAAAATTAGCCGGGCATGGTGGCACATGCCTCTAATCCCAGCGACTAAGGAGGGTGAGGCAGGCGAATCGCTTGAACCTGGGAGACGGAGGTTGCGGTGAGCTGAGATCGCATCATTGCACTCCAGCCTAGGCCACAAGAGCAAAACTTCGTCTCAAAAAAAAAAAAAAAAAATTTTAAAAGTGAAAAAAAAGAAAATGTTAAAAGTGTAGATTTGCCAAAAACTTCCAGTGATTGTTTCATTAACAGCATGTAGATATTGGATAAATATCAGAAGAGAAATGGTGATGAACACATTATGTAATGAAGATTGCTGTTTCTCTGTATTTTATTAAAACCGTAGATAACATAGGGTGAAAAAAAGACAGCTCCTTAGGTAGAGATCTTTGTGCATTTCAGGAATATAAAGGGGGACATATGTGTTTACTGGCTCTTCTGCACTGACAATGCAATCATAAGATAAGGTCAGAATGTCCAAACCAGCTCTAATAGACCTATTACTCCCCAACTAAACAGGCCAGATTCTACCATCTCCCACAATCACTATAAGAGGTCTGACAATCCAGTGCTTGAGTATCTGCCAAGTTTTTGACATTAAAGGAGTGTCTTTATACTGAAAATATTTCAGAGCCACTGAACTAAATCATCCATGGTTCACCACACATTTAGCAGCTTAATATGCATACCATAAGATTCACCCATTTGAAGTGTACAGTGATTTTTAGTTGTTGTACATCTTGAGTGGATACAGTTCAGATTCCCAACTAATCAATTTAATTATTTGGGAAAAAGTAAAAGATACGTAATGACATAAGATGAGACTGTGATGGGGTTTAACCCCCATTTGATAAACCATGAGATGGAAAATTCTGAATTGATGCCACAGATAAATGCACCAACCATGACTAAACATAATTCAGAAGCAAATCTGAAATAACTCCTCAACAGTGAGTGGACTCATAACCCTCTGCTAC